CCCTCTCCTCCTCGTCGGCAAAAGCGGCTAGGCGGTCGCCCTGCTCCTCGCGGAGCAAGGCGAACTTGTGCGTGGCGGTCGCGTTGAGATCACCGCCCAGTTCCTCGACGGCGGCAAGCGCCTTACTGAAGGATAGGGTGTAGTAGGCAGGGGGCTTTGGCGCACTGTTGCGGCGCGTGCCTCTAGAGCAGGTGGCGCGGCCTGGAGTCACGCGTGGCCGTGGGCCGTCCCAGCGATGTTGTGAGGTGAGACTGAGAGAGAGAGAGAGATGGCCGAAAGCATTTAAAACAGAAAGCGCAGCTCTCTCTCGTCTCAAGATCAGCTCAAGATCTCGTCAAGGCGCGGCAAAAGCACGAAAGAAGAAGAAACACCATGCCGGCCCTCCTTGCCCGGATTAGTCTCGTCGACACCCCGTGCTCGCTCTCCCAGTGTACGTGCGCGCGCGTAAAATTCTTTTGCCCGCTTGGAGCAACTTGGAGTGCACAGTCAGTAGCCTCACATCCAGGGCCGGGGAGCTAAGAAGCGCACCCAGCGGGCCAGATGATCGGTATCGGGTGTGTGTGTCCAGTTCCAGGCTGTCTCGGTCAACCTCAAAATTGGCGCCTCTCTCTGCTGCTGGTGCTGCTGCTGCTGCTGCTGGTGCTGCTGCTGGTGCAGATGCTGCTGCTGGTGCGGCGCGGCTCTCCGACTCGACTCGACGCGCGCGTCGCGGGCATCTGACGCGGCGGGCGGCGTCGCGGGCGGCAGCGATCGCGGCTCGACGGTGGAGGTGGAGGCTGGAGGCTGTGGTGGACCTTTGAGTTTATTTAATGGTCGAGTACGAGGACTGGGGGGTCAACAGGGAGGCAGGGGGCCAACCAGGCGACGGAGGACCGTGGGCCATCGCGGGGACTGCTGCGTACGGAGGGCGCGGCAGATAGATCCGGATGGTCTCACCCGGTGGGAGGCACCGAGGCGCGTCTGGGACGCTCCACTCTACCTAAGCTCCTGAGGGGCGCGTGGTTGTAACCACGTAGTAGGACTACAACCCACCACAGACACCCTCCCCACTCCTCACGTGTGCACAAACCCTCACCCTCTCCTCTCTCCTCTCTCTCTCTCTCTCTTCTCTCTCTCTCTCCTCTCCTTGTCTGTGCTGTCGTCTGCATGCGTGATTGTTTGTGGCTGCTCCGAGGGGGCCCTGTGCGATCCGACGGGTAGGGAGTCTGTGCCCGGGCGGTGTCCGGTGTGGAGTCTCTCTCTGATCCCACCTGTGATGTTGGGTGTGAGGTTGTGGCGGCTTCGAACCCAAGGGGGGGAGCTGATCCCACTCAGTAACCAACTCTCTCAGGGGCAGTAGGTGGGCGAGCTTCAAGCGCGCTCATCTCGAACGACAAGGCGTCGCTACGCGCGGTCTTCCGCGGGGGGAGCGTCGTCGACGGGTGCGGGACCGCGGCGCAGCCAGCGCTGCGGCGATGCCTCCGGCTGTTTGCGGCGGGCGGCTTGCTGCGCGCCGAGATGGCGAAAAACTCGTCTCGTCGCACACCAAGGGCTTATGCTCTGGCGAGATGTGAGGCGCATGCGCCCAGGAGGGGAGGGCGCATGCGTAACGACGCTTGCTAGAGATGCCTTTCGGGGCCCAGAGATAGAACTTCTGATGCCATGCGTGACCTAGTAGTGTCCCCAGCTATGGGCGTGTCCACGTTGGAGCCAGGTGTGGTGTGGGTGCGAGAATAGCTCCGCCGTTCATGGAGGCAACCGATGCGAGTGTCGACTGGTGTGTGTCGTCGTGGTTTGGTATCAAGAATACTCACTCACTCACTCGGTATCGGGTTGCGGTTTAGAGAGCCCTAGCCCTGGGGGATGCGCGTTCGCAGGGAAGGTCGCAGGGATGGGCCGTAAAGTAAACACGGTTCTCCGATTAGCTCTGCGCTGCGGGTTTCCCCTAGCAGCGGAACGCCCGGCGGAGGCGGCGGAGGCGCTGGATCGGGCCGCTGCCAGCGCGTCTCCCGCGTGCTCGTGTTAATGTAGTAGGCGCTGCCGTCCGGCGCCGTCGCCTCAATCCAGCCGTCGGCAAGCGGCGGTGAAGCCTGGTCCATGGCCGGGCAGGCGCGCCGCAGGCGAAGCGCTCTCGCGGCCTTGTGCCCTCGTCACGCTCGGCTCGGCTCGTTCACGGGACCACGTTTACCTGCCCTCACGTGGGCTCCGTTTACCTCTACCTCCGGCGGTCTGAGACAGGCTTACCTTTACCTGAGGCCCCCCACGCCAGCCCTACCTCTACCTGCGCCCCCGCCGCGCCCCGCCCTCAGAGCCGACACCAACGTGCCAAGCATTGAAGAAAGGAAAAAAGGCTCGCCAAACGCCGTGAGCGGCGAGGCGGCGCCGCGGAATGCGCCAGTCCGTGCAGAGCGTTTTGTGCACACGCCCGCACAGATCACAGATCACAAAGCCGCAGGCGAAAGGGCGCATGTGGCACACGTGCCGGGGGGTGGGGCGCGTGGGGAGGAGTGCAGGAGTCCAGGGGTGGGGTCTGGAGGCGCTTCAGCCAAGGCGTGCGGCGCGCGCCAAGACGTTGAAAGGGAACCAAAAGTGGTCCGAGCCGCCCGACGGGTGCTCGAGCTCCGCCGCCTGCAGCTCCTGCGAGATCTTGCGGATGCGCAGCCCGGCGCCGCGGTGCCGCTCCTCGAAGTAGTCAACCATGTCCTCGTTCCATTCGACCGCCTCCGAGGCGCCTGGCGCGCGCTGCTCGCACGCCTGCTTGACCTCGCCCATCTCGCCGCAGATGCGCACCGCCATCTCCGCCTTGAGGTCGGTGTACTTGACGTTCGACGCGGACAGGCGGACCAGCCGCTTCTTTGCGCGCGGCGTGTCGTCGCAGAACTGCACCTCGCGGAAGGACTGCGCGTAGATGATTGCGCCGCGCGGGTGTCCGAGCAGCAGCGGCTCCTACAGGCTCGGGCGCCACCCCGCGTGATCTGCGGGCAATCTCGCCCAATCTCGGCCAATCTCGGCCAATCTCGGCGGCTCCTTCTCGACCACGTCGACCAGGAAGGCGCGCGTCATGCGCGGGAAGCGGATCAGAGAGAGCAGCTGCTCGAGCTCGGCCTCCGACGGAGCGGGCTGCTGGTGGCGCGCCCACGCAACCATCGCCTGGAAGGCCGCGTCCTCGCTCTCGACGTTCAGGTTCATGTCGGCGAGCAGCGTCGCCAGCCGGGCGTGAGGCAGCGAGAGGAAGAGCGACTCCGGGCTCGACTGCAGCTTCTCAAAATCGCGCGTCGCCGACTCCCGCGCGTGCTCCTGCAGCTCGGCGAGGCCAAGCCGCTCGGCGAGCTCCCAGATCGCGAGGCAGTTGGAGGGCTGCAGCCGCTCCTTGAGCGCCTGTCGCATGCATTCATTCTTCACGACGAGTGACTCCTAGTGGCTGCGCCGCAGCCGCTTGAGCGCCTGGGTGGTCGCGCGCAGCAGGTCCTCGACCTGGAGCCGCGACGCCGCCTGGAGCAGCTCGGTCAGCATCGTCTCGGGCAGGCCGCACTCGCCGGTGTACATGAACTCGAGCGCCGCGCCGAATACCTCGGGGGACATCCCCTCGAGCTGCGCCGGACCGCCGTTCCGCTCGCGCATCACGACGCCCGCGCCCGAGTAGAGGCCCGCAAAGTAGCCGCTCGCCGCGGCGAGCACGTTGCGATGCCCGCTGAACGTCTCGGGGTCCACGACAATGGTGCAGTCGCACAGCGTGCCCTGCCGCCACTGCTCCACGAGCTTTGGCGGGTACCGATGCCCGCCCGAGACGGTCACCTTGAACGCCGCGTCGCGCGAGGGGCCCGCGCCGTCCGGATCGTTGTGCCGCGAGCGCTTCCGCCGGGAGCGGGAGGAGTCGGACATGTGAGTCGGCGGCTTTCTCTTTTTCATGGTACTCGCAGAGTGTGGGTAAACGAAAGTACCGTTCGGTACTATCAAGAAAGACGCCGAAAAAAGTCGCCGCGACCATCCACGACGAGCCAGCCTGCTGCCGGCTCGCACGGCAGCTTCTTCCTATGGACCAGCCTCGACTTCCATACAGTCAACATTTTGTCGCTGCGTGCTCGTGGTGAGCTGTGGCTCAATTACAGGCCGTGGATTGATACCTTACCCGCAAAGAGTCCAAACCCCTGCCGAGGGTGGTCGCTTTGCACCTGGTGGGTTGCTTGGCTGGAGAGGTTGTTTGGCCGCTCCCTCGTCGCACGTCGCTCGCGCCTCGATTTCCCTCGACCCCGGCCGTCCCCCCGTTTCCAGCATGCAGGGCGCTGCCCAGGGCGCCACCGCTCAACGCGTGCCGAAGCGCCTCCTCGATGATGTGTGGCGCGTGCGCGCCACCGACGACGACTGCTGCGCAATCTGCCTGGAGGCCCCGGCGCAGCCGCTGATTTTGCTCTGCGGGCACATGTTTTGCCTCGACTGCTTCCAGACCTACGCCACGCACGCGCGCGAGTACGACGACGAGTGCACGCGCTGCCCGACCTGTCGGAGCCCGCACGCGCCCCCGCCTGTCGGCCAGGTCGAGGCGGAGCAGGTCGAGCGCGGCGATGCGCTCTTGGCGCGCGCCATGCGCATGGATCGGAGCCGCCCCAACTTCTTGCCGCTCCTCGAGGGGGCGACCCGCTTCTACGTCGCGGCGCTGGACTTGCACCCGTACTGCTCGAGGGCGCACGCCATGATCGGGTGGTGCCGGAAGGTCGCAGGAGAGGACTCGCTTGACGCGTTCGAGGACTCGGCGCGCGCTTGCCATGGCGCTCTGCCCGCGTTTGCCATCGTGACCCTGTGGAACCAGACGATCCTCGACTGGCTCGGAGAGAGCGAGAGCGCCCAGCGCATCGAGCTTGTGCGAGCCGGCGCGCGGGCTTGCAGCTGGCCGCAGGCTGTCCAGCGGGAGGCGGCGGGGACGGAGCTCCCTGTCGCGGAGAACGCCTACCGCAAGGCCTGCAGCGCCTTTGAAGACCTCACCTTGCCTCGGGTGCGCGAGCTGCTCGAGAACTTGCTGGCGGTCTCTACGCGCGGCGGCTGCGGCAGCAGCAGCGGCGGCGGCGGCGGCAGCAGCGGCGGCGGCGGCGGCGGCAGCGGCGGCGGCGGCAGCAGCAGCAGCGGCGGCGGCGGCAGCAGCACTACCACCCTCTCGAGGCAGCACTACCACCGCATGGTCGAGCTGTTTAGCCTCGTCCCGATCTATCTGCCGCTGATCGCAAACATCGTGCGCAAGCACATCACCGACGCTGGCCTCGCGCTGGTCAAGAAGCAGTCAGCCAACGCCGAGGGCGACCTGATGGCGTACGTGCAGGAGCTGCTCGACCTCGACGGCGTGTACAGCGAGATCATCGGCTCGACGCCAGGCGAGGGCTACTTTAACGGCGACGCGACGTTTCTCAAGGCGGCGAGGGAGGCTTTCGAGGTCTTCGTCAACAAGGACATCGGCATGAGCGCCACCGCCGAGCTGCTCTCCACCTTCTGCGACAACCTGCTCAAAAAGTCGGGCGGCGGAGGCGGCGGCGGAGGCGGTGGCGGCGCAGGTGGCGCAGCTCCCCCCGCGCTGCCGAGGAGGCGGCTGCCGATCGGCACCTCTCTTCGGACCCCGAGCTGCGGCGGCTGTACCAGTCGGTGGTGGGTGGCGGGGCGCTCTCCACCGCCGACTTTTGGGCGCAGCGACGCGGGCTGCTGCGGGCGGCGATGCAGCGCGAGGGCCTCTCGACCCGGCGGCAGCAGCCCACCGACGCGGAGAGCTCGGCCGCCACGGCCGCCGCCGCGGGGTGCGAGCAGCCGGAGGCGAACGCCGCGACGGTGGCCTTCACGCTCACGCCGGGGATGATCGCGCGCATCTTTGAAAAGTACCCGAGGGTGCAGCGCTCTTTCCTCGACAATGTGCCGCACAACCTGTCGGAAGGCGCGTTCTGGCACCGCTACTTTCGGTCGCACGCAAAGAGGGAGGGGAGGCTCCGCGCCTAAGAGGGGGGCTTCCGCCGACCGAACCCTCCCCCTCCCCCCCCCACACCACCACCACCACCACCACCACCCACAGCCCGCCCTGCCCTCCCTGCCGCCACCTAGCCCACCGCCACCAGTCCAACCCCCACCCTTGGGGGCCCCACAATGCCCACCGCCGTGGTTGGTGCCGCGTCCATTACCGGCCCCCCCCCCCCCCTCGCCGCCGCCCCCGTCCCCCCCTCCGAGTAGCTCTCGGACGAGGCGCTCGAGGACAAGCTCGAGAAGGTGGTGCGGCTCTTTGGCTACCTGTCCGACAAGGACATCTTCGTCGAGTTCTACAGGAAGCAGCTCGCGAAGCGGCTGCTCCTGGCGCGCTCAGTGGGCGCCAGCGCAGAGCGCTCGATGATCGCCAAGCTCAAGCTGCGGTGCGGCGCGCAGTTCACCTCGAAGCTGGAGGGCATGGTGACCGACATGAACCTGTCGCAGGACATCCAGTCCGCCTTCGCCGAGCACGTCAAGGACAAGGAGCTCGAGCTCGACACCGACCTGACGGTGCAGGTGCTCACCACCGGCTTCTGGCCACAGTACAAGTCGGACGAGCTCAAGCTGCCAAAGGAGATGCTGCAGTGCGTCGAGACCTTCAAGGCCTTTTACGACTCGCACACCTCGCACCGCCGGCTGCGGTGGGTGCACTCGCTGGGCTCGGCGACCGTGGTGGGCAAGTTCACGGCCTCGGGGAAGAGCAAGGAGCACGACCTGCTCGTCTCCACCTACCAGGCCTGCATCCTGCTGCTCTTCAACGAGGCGGACTCGATGACCTTCTCCGACATCCAGGGCCACCTCAACCTGCCCGCCGAGGAGCTCAAGCGCTACGTGCTCTCGCTCTGCGGCGGCAAGTACAAGATCCTGACCAAGGATCCGGCCGGCAGGGAGGTCGCGCCGACCGACACGCTGAGCTGCAACGCCACCTTCTCCGACCGCCACCAGCGGATCAAGGTGCCGATGATCGCCCCCAAGATGACGCAGGAGGAGAAGGACGCGGCGCTGAAGCAGGCGGAGCTGGAGCGCAAGCATGTCGTCGAGTGGGCGATCATCAAGGTGATGATGCGCGAGAAGCGGGTGGAGCACGAGGGTCTGGCTGAGCAGGCGCAGGACTGGATCAGAACGAGGCCAAGCACGGGCTTTCACATGGCGAGGGATTACTTCGACGCGATGGTCGTGGACCTCATCCGCCGGGAGTACCTGGAGCCCGAGGCTCCCGAGCGTCCTCCCGGGAGTGGCAGCTTCTACAAGTACCTAGCTTGATGGCTCCAGCGGTGGCCTGACTGACTGAGCCTTACGATCCGTCCGGACAGCATTCGCCGCTGACGTACGTCACGTCGAGACGGTGGAGGTCGAGGGCCTCGCGTACGAAGTTGTGGACGGATCCGATCTGTGACGTACGATCCCGTATATACGTGCATGACGGAAATCGCTTGGCACGTAGATTTCCGTTTTTTGTATCATACTGCATACTGGGCTGGGTTTTTAGGCATTGTGGGGTTGGCACTCCCATCGACCCTCATGACCTCCTGCGGTCTCTGAGATGGACACCAGTGGGTGTGGGGCCACAGCCAGGATACAGTCAAAGGCTGGGTAAGCAGTAGAGGTCGATACTCGACGCGTCCCACATGGTCTGTGTCGCTGTCGGCACGCTGTCGACAGGACGTCGAGCGACACCGGTGGCAGTGCCACCCAGGAGTGGTCGGGCGGTCTCCCGTCATGAGAGAGCCACCATGTGATCCGTATGATGGTTCCTGACAACCGCCTCAGTCAACTTTCGTCACAGTTCCCGCTCTGAGAGGAGCTGCGGGTCAGTTCGACAGCTGGAGCTGTGTCGCCGGCGTGCGGCGGCCTGCCTCCGGAGGTGCCTCTGAGGTGGACATTTCTTGGTCACCGTGAGAGAACGCGTTCGAATTTTTACTCCGGAACTTCAACTTCACACGCGCACCGGCCAGGGCTACAATAGTGCCAGTGAGGCGGAGGCGCGAGTCGGAAGGCCGCGACCGTGATTTGGTCCCTTCATTTTCCTACAATCGCTGTGAACCCAGCCACGTAATCTCGATATTACCCGCACAATTCAAAACGCTTTCTCGTCCCTCTTTCTCGTCCCCGACTATTCTTGACCGCGAGAAAGCGTTTTGCCACGACCCGCTTTGCGCCGCCGCCCTCAACGCCCGATACTCGGTTAGAGCCGGCGGAGCGACGGCGGCAAAGGTGCGGCCGCCGGCGACCTCACACGGCGTCAAGCGCCGTAGAGACGGCCTCGAGAGCCGCCACCAGGTGTGCCACGACCGCGGCCGCGAGGCTCGTGGCGATGGATGCGCCAGACCCGCTTTGCGCCGCCGCCTCAACGCCCGATACTCGATCAGAGCCGGCGGAGCGACGGCGGCAGAGTTGCGGCCGCCGGCGACCTTCCCCTCGACCACGCCGCCGACCCGTCGACAAGCACGCGTGGACTGCCATCGAGAAGAAGGAGAAGGAGGGCGGCGCATCCGGAGCCCGCGGGCGCGGCGTGGGCGGGCGCGGGCGCGGGCGGGCGCGCGGGAACCCCGCCAGCGGAGGCGGCAATGCCTCTGGCGCTCCGGCGGCTCTGCAGGCGGCGCGCGGCGCGCCCCTCGCCGGTCTCCCGCACGCTCCTGAGGGCCGAGAGGGCCGAGAGGCGGGGTCGGTGACCCGGGGGCATGGGCGGTGCGGCCCGCGCCGCGCGCGGGGGCGT